CATAAACTGAAAGTGAAAAAATTATTTGACAAAATAGAAAGCTATTGCAATCCTAGAAAAAATGAAGTGCTAGAATCACACAGATTTTGGGTAACAAATCCAGATAATTATTCATCATTTGACAGTTTTCTTACAGAGTTTTGAAAGCATGTTGAGTCCAGAAATATATTTTGAAATATGTTATTTACAATCAAATCACTCAGTCAGGCTGAGCCACCCTTAACATTTTTTTTACGTAACTCCTTAGACTATTGATATATATATATATATATATATATATATATATATATATATATATATATATAAGGTAAAATTATAAGCCATATATGAGCTTATGATTGCATGGGCAGTTAAATTAAAGCCATTAGTAAAAAAAGGGTTGACCTGGGATAACCAAAGTGAAGAGTGAAATATGACACTCAACACAGCTAGTACGTACATTCTAAATATTTAGATTGATGTTTATGATCAGATTTAGCACAAATAGTAATTTAATTTCCCCTGATACCACAAATATGAATTTATTTAGAGTCCTGAAGATCTTTTTATGATGAAATCTTAACTGAAAAACCAGGTTTAACTGAATAATTATAAAATTCCTTGCCACAATGATAACTAGAAGGTACATAAAGCCAGTCAAAAAAAATATTTCTATCCATATTCATCATTCCTGGACCTCCATCCATTTGATGAATTTCTCCAACTGGTAAATTTTTCATCTTATTATGTTTTGTTTGTTAATATAAAAGATTTTTTATGTTTATATACAGCTAGAATAGTCTGTAATGGCTAAGATAGACAGATAAGAACAAACTATTTAGTAAACATGAGTCACCTCCCTTCAAATGGAGATAAAGATGAAACCCATAAGAAATTGCCATGTCTGACCGACAGCAAAATTATAAAATTCTGCAGGCTCAGTTTACTTAGGCCCATTAGGAGGTAGTGGTAATAACTGTGGGTCAAAAATGAAATGATATCATTTTCAAGGGATGTTTCTGATATGATTTACTTTAAATAATGGGTCATTATCAATGAATGTTTCTTTGACTTCTATATTCTATACCCATGTGTAATAGATTATTGACATTGCCAGCTAGATAGCTCAGCTGAGTGAGTCAGTACAGCCCACATACATGTATAATATTCTGATTCAGGTTTGATTCAGGTCAAACTGCACATTTTTCTCACCCTGTGATATTTTCACCCTGTTACTTTTAGGGTCCAATATATGTTTATGACGGTACATAACTGAGTCATAAGTCAATTCACTTTGTTACTTACGTGTGCCAATGAAAAAGGAAAAATTTCAATATGCTGTGGATTATGTCAATGCATAGAACTATGAGACTGAAAATATTTAAGCTGTAGAGCTGCTGTATGGTATTTCAAGGGTTCTGCGTTTTTTTGAGTGCTGAGGTATGGTATTCTGAGTGTCTCTGGTTTGAGTTTTAGTCAGGCTGCATTTCATTTTCTCACTCTTTGATATTGATAAATATTTTCAGCTCATTATTGGCTGGACTGCATATATTAATGATTTATTTGTATTAAATCAATATTGTTAAATATTTAGTTATTGTCTATATATGCATGTGACTTTATTTTTGATAAGGCATTGTAACAGTACTACTTCTTAATTTGACCTTTTTTGTATTGGGGGAGAAGCCCTTAATTAACTCCTTTCCAGTAAGTTTTATTGTACACGATGATGATAGCTTGAAAGGATTTAGCTAAAAAAGATACTACATGAATCTTTTTTTTCCTATTGGATTGTAAAATATTTATTGATTGTCAAAAAACTATATGGAGTTCTCCTCGGTGACATTAAACAGTCCCAGCTGGCCATACATGCAGGACCTTGCAGACCATGAGACAGGGTGGTCTGTACCAAGACAAATCCGATATCGAGACATGGTGGACAGGATAGACAGTGATGTTCAGATCCCCCACTCAGAAAGGAAGTTACTACACTCAAGGTCCTGGTCTTTAATTACTTCATTTGCTTACTTGGAGTAAAGGTGCCGGAAACAATAGTATGGTATCACAAAAAGCACAGACTGTGATAAAAGTCAAACCAAAAACGATACTATAAACTGAATTCATAGATTATATAAAAGAAGTTTATTAATTCTTTAACTTTATAGTTAACAAAAAAAAGATACTGAGTATTTAATTTTGATATATACCATATTAACACACATTAAGTGCATTATGCCATATAAATTTCAACTTAGTGCTTAAATACTTTCTGATCAACTCAGTAAGCAAACATGATTTACTAATCTTTGGATTCCCACACTCCTCTCCACCTAGCTCCAATGAGATCCACTTGGTTGACCATAACATGTACCATACCTCATATTGTTTGTTTACAGTTTGGAATGAAAAAATGAAAGTTTATTCTAGATATAATAAAGCTTAATTTTATTAAATTTCACAAGGCTTTCAACACATCAACAATGTAATTGTCATTTTATTTTTTGAAAATGTGTTGGACTGCTGGTCTGATGCATGTAGATGCTGTGTTGGCATATAGCGATTCCCCTCTTTTATGTGTGTGTGTGCATGCATGCGTGCATGTGTGTGTGTTTAATACATTATATAGTTAACATCTTTTGAAAACATCTTGTCCAATTTCAACCAAACTTGACAGGGTTGTTCCATGAGTAAAGGGCTTCCAAAGTTGTTCAAAGACTTAAATGAGGCGTAGAGCATAGATATTTTGCAAAAGGCATTGTCTGGTAGACATTCACAAGATTTTCACATTATACCCTGGGTGTCAAATTAGCCCTGCACTAGGGTTCATAGATTTTTCTGATATGTATGTAGTTAAAACTTAAAATCTTCTCCTCTGAATTGACAAAGACTCTCTTTTGTCATAACTCTGACAAAAATCATTGAACCGGAAAATGCTGCTAATATGCACAACTAGACTTGGTACTGATCATTCCTGTAAATTTTGGATGAAATTGCACCAGTAGTTTATGAGGAGTAGTCCGGACAAGTTTTGTGACGGACGGACAGACAGACAACGGAGAAGTGATCCCTATATGTCGCCTATATGGCGACACAAAAATCAATTATGTACAATCATGTATTAAGTTATAGTAAAAAAATAACATTTGTTAACATAAATTCAAAGATCAAGGGGAATAATTCTAGAAATAGTCACGCTAGAGTTATGAACCTTGTCACACAATATGTGTGTAATGATAAGAAATATATATTTGAAGTAGATACCTTAAAAAGTAAAGAAGTTATAATATTTCTTAACGAAAATTCTAAGTTCAAAGAGAGATAAATCTGTAAATATTGCTTCAAGTGTTATGAGCATAATGTCACATAAAATGTAATTGATGATAAGGAATAAATAATTTGAATGTTGAGGTAGATACCTTTAAAACTAAAAAAGTCATAGTAAAAAATAACATTTTTCTAGTAAAAAAATCTAAGTTTATAACGAGATAATTCTTGCAATATTGGTGCTAGAGTTATGAACCTTGTCACATAAGATGTGGATGATGATAAGGTACATATATTTGAAGTATGAAGTTGATCCCTTTAGCAATAAATAAGTATCAGTAAAAATAATATTTTTAAGGAAAATTCTAAGTTCAAGGGGATATAAATCTGAAAATATTGGTGCAAGAGATATGAACCTTGCCACATAAGATGGGGATGATGATAAGGTACATATATTTGAAGTATGAGGTTGATCCCTTTAGAAACAAGCATTTGATAGTATTGCGGGCAATACAGTAGTCCCCTACCGGTCCCTCAAAAAGTTCTTTAATTGTCATACACTCCTGTGTATTGCCATTTATAATAATATTATAAATTATGTTTATACAACCTTGTCATATTATTACGATGTGGGATTTTAAAGTAAATCCTATAAGGAATGAAGAAGTTGAAGTGAAAATACCAGTTTCTCTCGAAAAAAATCTAAGTTCAAGGGGACATAATTCTGGAAATAGTCTTGCTGGAGTATTTAACGCTTCCTCAAAAAATGTCGAGTGATAATAAGAAACATATATGTGAAGTTTGAAGTAGATACATTAGGAAATAAAGAAGTTATTTAAAAAAGACAACATTTTTTCCCCTAAAAAATCTAAGTTCAAGGGAGGTAATACTGATATTTTTTGTGCTAGAGTTATAAACCTTGTCACATATGATGTGGTTGATGACCAGAAACTTATATTTAAAGTTTGAAGTAAACACCTTAAGAAATAAAAGAACATATAGTGAAAAAGCTGAAAAATTTAAAATCAGAAATCTTGAAATTCAGGCTATTTGTTGCCATAGCAACCAGAATTTTCAACATAGGAAGAAAAGAAAAAGATGTGCATAATCTCCAGGCTGCCATCTACCCATATTTCAAGTTTCATAAAAAATATTTTCAATACTTTTTGAGTTATCACTGGATCCAGTTTATGTGTTAAATTTTGCCATATTTTCAGACTATTTGTTGCCATAGCAACCAGAATTTTCAACATAGGAAGAAAAAAAAAAGACGTGCATAATCTCCATACTGCCATCTATCCATATATCAAGTTTCATAAAAATATTTTCAGTACTTTTTGCGTTATCACGGGATCCAGTTTTGTGGACGGACTGACGGACTGACTGACAGACAGACAGACAGACGGACAGACAGACGGACGGAGGGTAAACCTAAAGTCCCCTCCGGTTAAACCGGTAGGGGACTAATAAATAAGTAACAGTAAAAAATAGTATTTTTTAAGGAAAAATTGTAAGATCAAGGGAAAATAAATCTAAAAATATTGGTGCTAGAGGTATAAAGCTTGTCACATAAGATGAAGTTGATGATAAGGAACATATATTTGAAGTTGATACCTTAAGAAATGACAAAGTTATAGTGAAATATATTTTACTGCACATAAACTTTAATCTGAAATCTGGACGCAGACGCCGGGGCGAGTAGGACAGCTCTCCATATACTTTGTATAGTCGAGCTAAAAAGTTGACAATGCAATAGATAAGGTCCTATAATTATTGTTTTATTTCAATATTATGGAATAGATATTAACAAAATAGGAAAAAAAATAATGAAGCTATAGTCTATCACTGAATTATCTGCCTGGATCCCCTCATGATAAATCATGAAGATAAAGGACTGAAGGTTAACCAAGTTAAATAGAAGATTACCTACTAAGGTGTTACATGTCAATACTTGAGCGTTTCTAACAATTGATAATATGAATGTAAATGTCAAATACACTTTTCCCCATGATGGGTGTTTCTCAGCTTTCTTTCAGTTATAACATGTTATAATCTTATGATTCCTATTCAGATCTGACTATAATCCTTTCACAGAGTCTATGAAATAATATAGATGTAATTTATTGTTAGTACATTCATTTACACTTTTGGTATCTCCTTGTTAACTCCATAATGTCTTCTTTACCACATTTAGTTCACTTTAATTGGTCTGTTTATTATCAAAATTCTCTTAATTTACTTTCACTGACAGTTTTATTGTCATTTCATCCAAAGTATCATACAATTCAATATTGACAAAATAAGGAAAAGATACATTTTCCTGTCATTTTGGCACTCTTAAACATTAATTGCCAAATTAACTATATTTTCCATACTTTTTGATAACTCTTAATTTAATCCAACATAATTCAAGTGGAAAAAGTGAAATGTGCCTTTTTTACTTGCACTTGTGTCTTCTGGAAAAAAATACTTTTTAAGCCTGACCACTGACTAAAGATGAGGACTGATCCTGTGGGCTACAATTCTTTTTCATTTGAAATGAAAATCTGGTAATTTTACTTATACTGAATTCTTGCATCACATATTTGCATTTGTCAAGTCTTTCTTCAATGTTTTCATATTACACATTTTGTATCACCAACAATATGCAGATATACCAACAGATCTACACCACTTCCTTTTTGTCAGGTTGATGTTTCTTGCAGAATATTTGTACATCATGTATTTTGCGAAAGATCCAGAAATAGCTTTCCTTTGCCTATAATCTGCTGTTTCTGTAAAATTAGAGAGAAAATAAATTTAACAACAGTCATCTGTATAGGGCATCACTTTTAATAACAATTTTTTATAAAACAACTTTATAAGGAGCATAACATTTTTAAGTATATATATTGCTTTTAGGATAATAGCATCCATTGCTTTATAACTAAGCCTTGGCAAGATAATCAATAATTCAAGTTGATAGCTTTAATTGTTTTGAAATCATCCTTCAAATAATAAGCAATGTTGACAAAGTGCCTGTCATCATACAAACAAGTATTTCAAGATTAATTATGAATGATATCTTTTATACTTTTAAAAAGATAATTTTAAGAAGAAAAAAAGTTAAACATATCTGTAATGATTGACAATACATATAGATTGTATTATATTGTGTTCCAAGTTTCACATTGATACCTTTCAGTTTTGAAATAATTCAACTTAATAAGCAATTTTAAATCAAAGTCCCATAACTCCAAATATGTTGCTTTTCAAATACCCCTTTTCTAACAAATGTGCTTTATCAAAAATATGCATTAAGTTAAAATATTAATCAATCAGGAATCAGCATTAGATGACAAGCACAATCATATTAAAACAAAACAAAAAATAATGATAGTTATTAAGTGTTTAAAGTTTTAAAGATGGACATTTTTTATGATAATCTTACAGCTACACTTTGATGGTTTCAAAGGCAATATTCAAAGAATACATGTAATATCTCAAAAAAAATTCTCAAGCATACACATGTCCTATTCAGTTGTGATTTTGCTTGTTTTCATTATATTTAAAGTATTCACCAACAAAAAATTCTCAACATTTCAGAAAATGTACAAAAACAGAAAAGTCTTACATTTCTCACGGGTCAAAAAACTGGTATTTCTTCAATAATTTGTCTGTTATTTGAAAAAAAAAATCTGCATTAAGGTAAATATTCATCAGTCAGGAATTGGCAATTAAGATAACAACCCATATTTAAGAGAAAAAAAATAATAAGAGGCAAACTGCCTATTTAAAACTTTCTAAGATGGGCATTTTTTGATAGTCTTACATTTCTCACGGCTAGATTTCACTAGTTTCAAGGGGAATATCAAAGAATACATATAAAATCTCAAAAATATTTCTCAATAGCAGACACATATCCTATTCAGTTGTGATTTTGGTTGTTTTCATCAAATTTAATGTATTCAGTAAAAAAAAAATCATCAACATTTCAGAAAATGTACAAAAACAGAAAAGTCTTACATTTCTCACAGGCAAAAAAACTGGTATTTCTTCAATAATTTGTCTGTTTTTGAAAAAAAACACCTGCATTCAGGTAAATATTCATCAGTCAGGAATTGGCAATTATGATAACAATCCATATTTAACAGAAGTAAGTATATAGAGGCAAACTACCCATTCAAAACTTTCTAAGATGGGCATTTTTTGATAGTCTTACATTTCTCACGGCTAGATTTCATTAATTTCAAGGGGAATATCAAAGAATACATATAAAATCTCAAAAATATTTCTTAATAGCAGACACATATCCTATTCAGTTGTGATTTTGGTTGTTTTCATCAAATTTAATGTATTTAGCAAGAAAAAATTCTCAACATTTCAGAAAATGTACAAAAATATAAAAGTCTTCTTTCTCACTGGTCAAAAAACTGGTATTTCTTCAATAATTTGTCTGTTATTTGAAAAAAAAAATCTGCATTAAGGTAAATATTCATCAGTCAGGAATTGGCAATTAAGATAACAACCCATATTTAAGAGAAAAAAAAATAATAAGAGGCAAACTGCCTATTTAAAACTTTCTAAGATGGGCATTTTTTGATAGTCTTACATTTCTCACGGCTAGATTTCACTAGTTTCAAGGGGAATATCAAAGAATACATATAAAATCTCAAAAATATTTCTCAATAGCAGACACATATCCTATTCAGTTGTGATTTTGGTTGTTTTCATCAAATTTAATGTATTCAGTAAAAAAAAATCATCAACATTTCAGAAAATGTACAAAAACAGAAAAGTCTTACATTTCTCACGGGCCAAAAAACTGGTATTTCTTCAATAATTTGTCTGTTTTTGAAAAAAAAAACCTGCATTAAGGTAAATATTCATCAGTCAGGAATTGGCAATTAAGATAACAATCCATATTTAACAGAAGTAAGTATATAGAGGCAAACTACCCATTCAAAACTTTCTAAGATGGGCATTTTTTGATAGTCTTACATTTCTCACGGCTAGATTTCATTAATTTCAAGGGGAATATCAAAGAATACATATAAAATCTCAAAAATATTTCTTAATAGCAGACACATATCCTATTCAGTTGTGATTTTGGTTGTTTTCATCAAATTTAATGTATTTAGCAAGAAAAAATTCTCAACATTTCAGAAAATGTACAAAAATATAAAAGTCTTACATTTCTCACGGGTCAAAAAACTGGTATTTCTTCAATAATTTGTCTGTTATTTGAAAAAAAAAATCTGCATTAAGGTAAATATTCATCAGTCAGGAATTGGCAATTAAGATAACAACCCATATTTAAGAGAAAAAATATAATAAGAGGCAAACTGCCTATTTAAAACTTTCTAAGATGGGCATTTTTTGATAGTCTTACATTTCTCACGGCTAGATTTCACTAGTTTCAAGGGGAATATCAAAGAATACATATAAAATCTCAAAAATATTTCTCAATAGCAGACACATATCCTATTCAGTTGTGATTTTGGTTGTTTTCATCAAATTTAATGTATTTAGCAAGAAAAAATTCTCAACATTTCAGAAAATGTACAAAAATATAAAAGTCTTACATTTCTCACGGGTCAAAAAACTGGTATTTCTTCAATAATTTGTCTGTTATTTGAAAAAAAAAATCTGCATTAAGGTAAATATTCATCAGTCAGGAATTGGCAATTAAGATAACAATCCATATTTAACAGAAGTAAGTATATAGAGGCAAACTACCCATTCAAAACTTTCTAAGATGGGCATTTTTTGATAGTCTTACATTTCTCACGGCTAGATTTCATTAATTTCAAGGGGAATATCAAAGAATACATATAAAATCTCAAAAATATTTCTTAATAGCAGACACATATCCTATTCAGTTGTGATTTTGGTTGTTTTCATCAAATTTAATGTATTTAGCAAGAAAAAAATTCTCAACATTTCAGAAAATGTACAAAAATAGAAAAGTCTTACATTTCTCACGGGTCAAAAAACTGGTATTTCTTCAATAATTTGTCTGTTTTTGAAAAAAAAAACCTGCATTAAGGTAAATATTCATCAGTCAGGAATTGGCAATTAAGATAACAATCCATATTTAACAGAAGTAAGTATATAGAGGCAAACTACCCATTCAAAACTTTCTAAGATGGGCATTTTTTGATAGTCTTACATTTCTCACGGCTAGATTTCATATCAGACACATCAGACACATATCCTATTCAGTTGTGATTTTGGTTGTTTTCATCAAATTTAATGTATTTAGCAAGAAAAAAATTCTCAACATTTCAGAAAATGTACAAAAATAGAAAAGTCTTACATTTCTCATGGGTCAAAAAACAGGTTAGATTTTTTTATAATGCTACCAGAGTTTTATTTTTAAAAGAAATATCCTGAGGATAACCATAATTTGAATGACCTACCATTCATTAATTTGGCAAATTTCATGATCAAACAATTTTTATAGAAGATAGTTACACATGATATTATAGAATATACACAGGATATAACATATTTCAAAGTCACTAGTATTAGACATTATTTCCTGTCATAATGACACTTCCTGTGTTTGGTATGTATTGCTTCCCCCCAATTATGCTCTAGAGAGAGGTTCATAAATAACATGTATATTACCTGTATTGATGTCACTACATTTATCCAGAAGTGAAATATTTGTTAATTGTAATCTCAGCTATCCGAAAATGACACCTTTTTGTAACACTGGATTGTTCTCACTGAAATTAATAAATATTTTTATGATATACTTATAAATGAAATATTGAGAAATATTGATGAAATAAAAAGCATATCCATTTTCCCTATTTTCACTGTAAAAGAATATTTTTCACTGCAGTGAAACATATTTTCCGTATTTTAACTGGTATTTTGCTGGATTTTACTTTTTTCTAAATTATGCCAGTACACAAATCAAAAAAGAGAAAAAGCATATAATAAAGAGAAAAATTTTCTATAAGTAAAGAATTTATTTTCATCTTGTGGTATGAAAATTATCATATTTCACACGTGGCTACCTCCACTCAGGAATTTTCTTTTGATACCACTTGATGAAAATTAATACTGTATTTATCATGTTTATAGAAAAACCTGGAATATCCCCTATTTAAAGTAAAATAAAAATGCATTTCTTTTATATTCAGAAATAATTGTGAACAACTAAATTTTTATATTTTCTTACTGGACGCAGTAAGGAAGACAAAACTATGAAAGAAAAATCAATTATGTATAATTATGTATGAAGTTATAGTAAAAAAATAACATTTGTTAACATAAATTCCAAGTTCAAGGGGAATAATTCAGGAAATAGTCACGCTAGAGTTATGAACCTTGTCACATAACATGATTGTGTGTAATGATTAGAAATATATATTTGAAGTTTGAAGTAGATACCTTAAAATAAAAGAAGTTATAATATTTCTTAAATAAAATCCTAAGTTCAAAGACAGATAAATCTGTAAATATTGCTTCAAGAGTTATATACCTTGTCACATAAGATGTAATAGATGATAAGGAATAAGTATTTGAAGTTTGAGGTAGATACCTTTAAAACTAAAAAAGTTATATAAAAAAATAACATATTTCAAGTAAAAAAATCTAAGTTTATGGGGAGATAATTCTTGCAATATTGGTGCTAGAGATATCCGTTTCCCGAAAAAGTTATAGTGAAAAACTTTTTATTGCACCAAGACTTCGTATAGTGGAGCTAAAAAACATTAACCCGGTACAATATGTGAAAGTACTTGCCTTAAGTTCAATCTTGTTATCTTGCAAAGTTTCATACTGGTTTAAAAGGAGTAATGTGCACAAATTTTATAAATAAACAAGAGGGCCATGATGGCCCTGAGGTTGCTCACCTGTATATAGGCCCCCGGAGCGGGGCCAGTTTAAACCCCAGGGCTTTTGTTTTCACAAACTTGGAAGACACACATTAGAAGCTGTTTCATGTTAAGTTTTTACTACACACATATAATGAAAAACAATGATCTCTCTCCCCCCCCCCCCAGGGCCAATTTTAACCCAAGGGCTTTTATTTGAACAAACTTGGTAGACACCCATAAGAAGATGTTTCATGCTAAACATCTAAGCTAAAGGTCATTGGTTTTTTTAAAAGAAGATTTTTACTATACACATATAGTTAAAAACAATGACATCCCTGTGGCCGGACAAGTTTTGACCCCAGGGGTTTTATTTGAACAAATTTTGCAGACACTTACTAGAAGGTGTTTCATGCTTAATATCTAAACTCTAGCTATTTCGGTTTTTTCAAAGAAGATTTTTTCAGTTTTTGCTACATACATATAAGGAAAATCAATGACCCCCGGGGCGGGGCCAATTTTGACCCCAGGGCTTTTGTTTGAACAAACTTGGTAGACACTCATTAGAACATGTTTCATGCTAAATATCTTAGCTCTAGCTCTTTGGGTTCTTTAAAAGAAGATTTTTTAAGTTTTTTTTGGGAAAATCAATGACCCCTTTTGGCACAACACAAAAGGTATTTCACAGGGCCAATGATAAAAAATAAAACATTATCACTTATTCAAATGCGAGCAATTGACACAGTGCTAGAACAGGCAGCATTTAGTAGATCCCTGGGTGTAATATGCCTTTAATAAAATTGCCTTTTTTTAGGATATAAACCACATTTATGTGATATTAAATGGACGTGAAAATGTATAATCGAATCATCCTTAAATGTCTAAATCCATAGAGCTTTTGGGAGCTGCACCCCTTTACCCCATCCAGGGCCCTGCCCTGGACCTGCAAGGGGGCCCTATTGACCTCCTGTGTAAACATTTGTGCGTATATTTAAAATGACCCAGCTACGCCCCTGACAGTGAGTGTCAATAAGAAAATTCATAATATTTGTGAACACATTAACAAATGACAACAATCATTTTAATTATTCAAAGTCAAATTAAATGGAACTAAATCTATAAGTATTAAACCCCTTTACCTGATGTTTTATTTAATCTAACTGTTATACGACTTAACAATTAGCATGGTCAATGAGGATCATTTATCAAAGGGGAGTAACTATGTATAATTATTACAACAATAATGAAGTCATATATTAAGGTTTCTTTCTCCAGACTGCATAACTTCCAAATATTTGTTGATGTGACTCACTGTCTGATACAAAAGTCTTCATAACAAATATCTTAGATTTTGGCATTATAATTTTACACAAAGCTTAATTGATTGTTTTACTGAAGTATTTTAGTCTATAGAAACTTAGTGAGCCCAGGGTGGTCCAGGGGGTATGTCAGACTTACAGAACGTTTGTAGAGACCCACAAGGAGATGCTTCATGCAAAATACAAAATACCTTGAAATTTTAGAGAAGAAGATTTTTTTTGAAATTTTTACTTTATTTGAGGACCATCTAAGAATCATTCCTGTAAAAATTGGTCAAAATCCATCATGTGGTCTATAGTAGCGTTTTTTTAATAAATTGAGGACAACAACAAACGACAGATGACAAAAGATAGACATACTGCTAACCAAAAGATCTGACACCTCTGAGCACTTTGTGCTCATGTGAGCTAGAAAGGGGGTATAACTCTGCAAATATGCTTAGCAGACAAAAAGTACCCATATACATGTAGCATGAAACAACCTAAATTATCTAAGGAAAATCACAAAATGTAATAATTGTGCAAAAATCATATACATGTAACATAATAATAAAATAATAATGAGACATTTTTATTTATTGTGTTCAATTGCGCCAATAAGACCTTCATATCCAGACATCTGCTTACTTGTAGATTCTTGCTTGGAATTAATTGAGATCTAACAGAACTTTATTATGCCTTACATGAGCCTCATATAGACACAGACCTTACTCTTTGCCTACATCATACCATTTGCTTAAACTATTAATTTGGCTAAAGAAATCTATAACAATTTGGCTTCATGATTATTTGCACAGGTTAACAACTACCACAGCTATACCGACTCAGCTATCTAACCCCTTACACATTTATCTCACAGCTGTCTGTACTAACTGAGTGAATGTGACATTCAGCCAAACTATACAGTATTGAAATTTGTTCAACAGAACAGGATTTAAATTGACTCTGAGCTATAAACCATGATATCATGTTGCCTGAAAGGGAACCATAATTATGTCACAGGTACTGCAAAATGATAGGACTCAAACCCAGGACCCTTAGAAATATTGTACCTCAGCTATTCGACCACTTTTTCCGAAAAGTTCTCACCACGTATCAAAATCACATGTCATTTGTTTAATTAGGATTGATCCTTTGTTATGTCCTAATATTTAAAAATCATAATTATTATCTGTTATAATTAATGCACTATCAAACTTCACATGTGAAAATATTTACAGTGTTCACTATACTGTGAGGGCTATATGCACCTTTCTTTTAGGGAATCAAATTCAAATTAAGGCTAATAAATTCTATCCTTTTTAGCTTGTTAAGCTTATAATTGCTAACTGGTTAGGTCAGGTTTCACAAAATCTAAAGTAACATATAATCTTGTACTATTCTTGAGAATATTTAATATGTGGATTTATAACAAATTAATAAGCTGATCTTTAAAGCAGATCAAGCATTGTTATTTGTGTGCACAATTTATATTAGCTGAATGAACATACAGAAGATCCAAAAAAAGATCAAGGAATCCACTATTCAAGCAATATTAAGAAATAATTAATGACATTTTTGTTTCCTTGCATAATTCATATATGCAAATGAAAAACCAGGATCAGCTCTTTCATGTACAATGTACAAATTCTACATGGTTAACCGGTCCCATGTAAGCTGTATAGCTTCCTCAAATATCCCTCATATGACTGTGAGGGGTCAGCAAGCTAAACCACTTTTTAAATGTGAAATGTTGTGAAGTGAACAATTTTTTTTTTTTACAAAATTTGCTTGCAATCCACATAAATTACCAACAAGAGCTGTCCGTAAGACAGCGCGCTCGACTTTTTTATTGCTTGCCAATAAAAAAAGTTTTTGCAGTAAAAGGCAATACAAGAATCTCTGTATTTTTAAAGTGAACAATGGCCATGAGCATTAAGATATTTAGTGAAGAATTATTTTATTATGACATAATTTATGGTAAAGTGAACAAGTGGATAGGAATGAATTTTTTTAGATTTTTTAAGTTTTTTAGTGCTTGCCTATAATACAAAACATTGACAGTTAAGGGCCATAATTCAAATAAAATCTTTGACAGAATTACCTTCTCCTGGACATGTTTGGGAATCATGATTGTAAACAAGTATTCCAACTTTCAAATTAATATCTCAAACAGTTCAGTCAAAAAGTGGACTGGTACTAAAAACTTAACCAAGATTCTAAGTCGATAAAAGGCCTTAATTTTTAAAAACAAATCCTTGACAGAGTTACCTTCTCTTGCGTACAGATGGGGGTAATGATGTGAAATAGCATTAAAAGTTTCAAAGCAATATCTCAAAGGGTTAAGGCAATAAGTGGATTTTACCCATATTCAATGTATTTTCTAAGTCAAAAAGGGGCATAATTCTGTCAAAAACCTTGACAGAGTTATGTCCTCTTGTCTGTTGATGAAGGTCGTGATGGTAAACAAGTATGGTCAGTTTCAAAGCAATACCTCCAATGGTTTTGAAATAAAGTGAGGTGGTACAAAAAACTTAACCAAGCTCAATACACTTTCTAAGTCAAAAAAGGGCCATAATTCTGTCAAAAACCTTGACAGAGTTATGTACTCTTGTCTGTAGATGGAGGTTATGATGGTGAACAAGTATGGTAAGTTTCAAAGCCATACTTGTAATACTTCTGAAATAAAGTGGGGTGGTACGAAAAACTTAACCAAGGTGTGACGCCGACGCCGACGCGAGTAGGATAGCTCCCCTTTTCATAGAAAAGTCGAGCTAAAAAGGAGATCAATATAAGCAAAAATAGCCCTAGGACCTTGCACTGTGTTAGTAAGACAGTAAGAGATATGGTGGTAAACACTGACATTAATTACTGCAAAATCCAGTCCTTAATCATAACATGAAAATTATCATTTGTATATGTACTTGAATTTAAAACATTTTTTCTTTTCTACATTTTTATCAAGTTTTATTTTCTTGAATATTTTGGCTCATCTGGAGGCATGCGGCTTTAAGAGCCAAAAGTATACTTTTATTAAAAAATAGTGGGCCTAATATTTATCTGGCTCGACTAAACCGACATAACAAGGGCTGCATGCTGGTGAATTCAAAATTTATTTTTAGCTTGAGTATATGTAGAGCAGTGCTACTCACTCATACATTGGCATCTGTACTATTCAGTTTTAGTGCAGCAATATAGTTTGATATTTCATTTTTTTAACTTTTAACTTCAAATATTATATATGTTCCTTATCATCACTCACATAATATGGGACTCCAGTTATTTTTCTCACTTAATAGAAAGGGACCTTAGATTTAGGTAAAAATTATTGCTAAAATTTCCACTTTGGGTAGAAAATCAGCTGGTGTACATAAGGAAAACTGCATTATTTCAAAGAAAAATTCAATTGGACTCTAGCATCAATATTTCTAGAATTAGCTCCCCTAAAGCCTAGTATAAGTTACTCTATACATGTTTTTACTCTAAACATAACTTGAATTTACTTCTTTTTTCAGGGATACACTTCAATATAATCAAAGTCCCTTAGCCTTGGTGCTACAGAAATAAGTGCTGATTAATGAAAAAAATAAATATTTAAGCGAAACCTGATTCAAACTTTGTTGCTTTAATTTAATAAATATTAGACTGCTGCATTATCTTACTACCTGAACCATACTAGGGATAGTGGTTCACAAAATGTGTGTTTGATAATAACTTACTAATAAATATAAAGGGGGGGGGGGGGAATTTCGACCCTCTACCAACTTGGCTCGGGTCAAATGGGCACAGGCCAACTCGGCCCACTTTTGAAAAAAAACATACTTTTTCTGATAACTGCAAGCTGTTTCAAACTTTTTCCTTGACATGTCAAAGTCAAACATTCAGTATCAGGCATAATTTCAGTTTCAAAGTCAAACCGGCAATCAAAAATAAACATGCATGAAACAATTTGCTGATCACTTATAAATTCAATATAACCATCTGGCACATAGTAAATATTTACAAGTTCTCCAAGAAAATCGCCTGGCCTGTTTGTTATGTTTATCGAAATAATATGACGTGAATATCGATGATGTCATTTTGGAAATTACTTATAAACTGTGACGTCACTTCATTAAGTTGGTGCTTAAAACTTAACTATTCGCTATCTAATCTGTTCGTAATTGAAAATGAATAAAATAACAAATAGACTTGTCAGGATATTAGATAAAATTGTTGAATTAAAGACTAATAAGCTATTGAAACAAGTCTGTTAAAATGGGGGGAGCTTATTTTTGATATCAGGTTACTAACCTGATATCAAAAATAATTATCAGTCAAGTGTTATCGAGCAGTTATCATCGCAGTTGCATGATAAAAATTAATATAATACAAATGTGTTCCCTTCAAAATGATGCTTTTTGTTTGTAAAGTGATCTTCAATAAAAAAAGAAATATAAACTTGTTTACTTATTATATAAAATATAAATGTTTGTTATTTATCTTGTATACATTAAACAACATGTAATGCATTTATCAACAGGCAATGTATTTTGCAATGTCACAAGGATGGAGTGTAATGAATTCATATATCCCAAATCATTGAAAACTCTATTACCAAAAATGTAATAATAATTTAAGAAAACGTCTTTCAACGTTTGTGAATAAGTCCATTTATCCTGCTACTGTCTATATCATCAGCTGGATAAAGCTTTGCCGGATAAACTTATCTATCTCCAGTCATTACGTCATATGATTACGTCACGTGTTTAGCAGCAAAACAAAACTACATATAGATGCTATTTTATCGGGGAAAAAGAAGAATGAAACCATCTAATTATTATAAAAACATGATTAGAGCAGGATAAATCAAATACATGGTTGATGTCGGGATGGAGAAGGTTTATCCGGTTCGCTGCAAAAGTGAATCTTGGTTCGCTAAAGCTCGCCAAGATACACTTTCTCGCTCACCGGATAAACCTACTCCATCCCGACATCAACCATGTATTTTCTATATATCAAAAATATGGTTCCAACAACAGAGAGTGATAAAACAAACCAATATATTAACACTGATAATCAGATTAATAAATTTTTTTTTAAGTGGGCCGAGTTGACTACTGGTCAGGGACCATCAACCGGACACTTTTTGAACATTTTTCTATACAAATTTCATAATTTTAAAGCTAGAGGTACGAAAATTTGACACAGTACAGCTAGGTTCTTCTCCTAACTAACAAACTAGTTTGTTTTTTCTGATTATGTTGACACTTATATCCGAGGCCCGTCGAGGAGGGTATCAAAATTACCTAAATTGTACATACTACAGTACCATGTGTCCGGACAGATATGTAATAACGTTGATTTAATTCAGATAAAAGCTTTGGTGTTCTTTTTTTAATTTTTAACATGACACACAATATTTCAGCAGCAAATGCTGAAGTTTTGGATATTCTATTGTTTTCTTTGCAAATAATTATTGCTGTTATATGAGGTCAGGCATTGCTTTCTTGACCCCCAAATTTCAACGTCAACATTCTTGAAATAGACATTAAAATATTACCATTTACGGAGGTTGAAATAAATTTATTTACTTAATTATAGAAGAAACGTGCATTTATTGTTGATTAAAAAGTGACTGACAACCACTGAACAAAGAAAATTCTAAATCAAGCATTTTCGGGGCCGTCCGGGTTTGGTGGTTGTCCGGTTTTGGTGGTCCCCAACCAGTATGGAGTTGATCTGTGCCAAGTTGGAATAGGGCCGAGCTGACTCGAGGCCGAGTATGTTAGGGCCGAGCCGACACTTATTCAAATCAAATACATATAATTAGACAATATATCAGTAAACTTAAGTGTGCCATACCCCTAGATCTACAAATGTCGGCTGGTTGGTCGGCTAAAACAAAATTAAGAAACGAAAGGTTGAGCTACATACCGCCCATTTCTTAAAACAGACTGACATGGCCTACAGTACCTGTAAGCATTAATAAAAACTAACATACTTTCATCGATGCTTGAAATAACCACATTCTAATAGCGAGCTCGACGAGCTGGCCCGAAGGGCCTGCTCGCAAAGCGAGCTTTACGGTAACGCGAGTACCTGCTAAGTGATGGTTTTGAAAACTTTCGTCCAAAGTAACGAATTTGACACATCGCAACCTTTCGAATTTAAAGATAACGATAAAAACTGAGGAATTCTGACTGAAAACGGATGTGTAGACTGGTCACCCGCGCACGTCTATGGGAACCAGAATAACGGAAGCTGTGTATAAAAAATGAAAATCGAAGGCGCCATTTTGTTTGAAAAATCTGATAAATAAAAACATTTTTTTTGTCAAATTTTGTTGTGAAAACTATCTAGAATGAAAGAAAATGGTCTAACTAAGAAAATGAATCCGAACACCAATATCTTTTATTCAGTCGTTAACGCTGTACAGACGTTTAAAGTATCGTTTACGTGACGTCACAACGTAGCGCCAAACAGCACGTGCAAAACAAACAAATCAAGTACACTATTTTAATGTCGCAAACGTGTTAAGTTTTACATTTATTTCACTTGAAATAATCTTTATTTCGCTTGAAAAATTATAGAATGAAATAAAATAAACAAAGTTTTATCAACGTTTTCAAAACTTGTTATTCATTTCACGACAGGGGCGGGGCCATATCTAACACAGTACGTGTGACGTCTCACGCACTCGTCGCTGCATTTGAAATAAAAATGAGCTTTCATACAAGTACATCGAGCTCGCTTTGAGGCTTTGCCTTTTTCATATTATAAAATATCAAAACAAGCTTACCTCGATCAAAGCTCTTCGATTTTCCAGGATTTTCCATCAACTCGACATCGGGAACGAACGATGTCGAAAGACTGCCACTGATTTGGACAATATTTCATCCACACGATACGTTGTCACAGAAAAATAAAAGTTGGTATCGTAGAAAATATCTCTATGCTCATGAATAAAAGGAAGAACTGCACTTAGATTAATTGATGAGCTTCTAAACGAGGTTAACACACAATTGTACCAGAAAGTCTTACATTTCTCACGGCCCGGTCCGACAACTACCTGCGCATGCGCAGAACGTAAAGTCTTACGTTTCTCACGGGTCTGACAAAATTCACGCCACACCGGTGTAAACAAACGCCGATTAACTATGAATAAATTAATTTGTTATTATTACGCACAAAAATAATACTTAAAGTTTTGCGATTCTTTATGATAATGTTGCATTTTAAATATATTAATTTTCGCAATTCATATCAGCTCTGGAGAATCTTTTAGTTGATCAAAAATATCGTTCATTTTCATAGAAAACAGAAAAGCTACGGCAAATAAAGTACGAGTGAGTAGTAATCGAATGTTTAAGTAAAGGCTTAAAAACAAAAAGTTGGGTTTGTTGTTAATATTATCAACAAAATAAATTGTACATGAAATCATATGTACTGTATATTTTTGTATTTTGATATATCTTTGTTTTGGTCATAACGTTGTGATATTTAGTTTACGATTGTATAAATATTTTAATACAACTTTATTCTTAGAGACAAGTAAACTAAAGATTACGAATTTGTCCTTAAATTTCATAACAGCCAGTCTTTCCACCAATGAAAAACACCCTCTTTTAGCTGAAGATTTTGTAACCAACAATTTCATTTGTTACAAATCTAGGTCAAAATCCATTTTAATACAGCTACGCCGAAAAATCTTTTTATCAGAAGGTTTAAGGCTTAGAGCTTAGATACTTGGTAAATAATATCATAAGTACGTCCTTTACCAAAGTTGTTCAAATGTTGCCCCTAGTGAAATAGCACCAGGGTGTCATAGGTTTTCATTAAATGTATAAACATGTATAGAAAAAAAAATAAAAAATTTCCTCTGGATTGACAAAGGCTAGATGTTTGATATTTGGCATGAAACCTTTACGTGTGTAATAAACCTCTATCACTATTGTTCAAATTATAGCCCTGGGGTCAAAATGGCTCTGCCAAGGAGTCTTTTTGGGTTTTCACTATATGGTATGTATATAGTAAAAAACTTTAAAAAAAATCTTGTCTGAAGGTACAAGGTTTACCAGGCACCATTGTGTCTTAGGATTTCCTTAAATGTATATACATGTATAGAAAAAAAAACTTAAACAGTATTCCCCTCTGAATTGACAAAGACTAGAGGTAAGATATTTGGTATGAAGCATTGTGTAGTCGACCTCTACCAAGATTGTTTTAATTTTAGCCCTGGGATAAAATTTGCCTTGTGGGAGGGTTGGGGGGGGGAGTCATTAATTTTCGTAATGTACTTGTTGTAAAATTTTAAGAATGTACAAGGCTAGAGCTTAGGGCTTTGATGCCTAAATTTTGTCAAGTACAAATGCTTTTATTTTGAATCAATAATTGCACTATGGAGTGCATTTTTTTCCAGTGAATGCGTTTTGCATGTAAACAAAAATGTTCACCTAACTTTTAAGTCTTGCTGAATGATTCAATACCACATTTTTGTAGACTACAAACCCACATGTTGGTCTTGTTTTTAAAGTAATAGATAAAAACACTGAAGACTCTATTTTACTATTTCAGCATTGTATACTGCAGATAATAAACCGGTCTTTGCAAACTGATTTCTGTATTGCTCTTCAATTTCGCAAACCATATAGTCTTGCCTGGAAAAACACAGCACTAGTATGTAGGAACAACACCTCTTTCTTGTCCTATTAATAACTTGAGAAGAAATAAGCCAAGATTTGTGTTCGAAATTGATTGTAACCAGAAGATGACTTCTATTGAGTTCAGTAGATTAAAATCACATGGTCTTGATGTCAAGCAATGTATACCTCAGTGCTTGCAGTGCTTTGATTTTATTCCTTGCATATATCGGGTAATGATGCGCTCAACTTCCAAGTCTGTTTACTAGAGAAGTAGTGTTAAGTGTGTTAGAATGTTATATTCGTTATCCTTTAATACTGCAATCCAACTGATGGTTGATTAACTTTTTTTCTGCAAAATAGTGAAATTTTAACATAAATTGTAATAGAACATTTCTAAGATAAATTAATATATCATGAAAATTTATTATGATATACTTTCATACGTTCATTCACACATCTCGATGATATCAAGCAAGTACTTGTTTGGTATGCAAAACGAACTGTTAAATTTTCCTTCACATTTACATAACAGTATAGCATATTTTAAAATTATAAGCAGACCACGGATGTTTTAAACTTTAAGAATAAACTTTATTCAATTTGAATGTTTCATTTTGTACTGAAGTATAATTATATTAATAACACCACTAACATCTAGAAACAAGTTTAATCTGTGTTATTCTGAGCGAAATCTAAGGTCAAATATGTCACTTATTTTTAATTTATGGTCCTTACTGTAACTGAAACTTTTGCAAATTAAAATTGTAAATTCATTAAATCTTATAGTATAGTAGATAATATGAAATGCGTTTATACATATAATTGACAGTATGGGAATAAAGTAAATTCATCACAAAAGACATTTGTCGGCATTTGTTTTTCTTGCAAAAAAACAGCAAAAAAAAAAACAACAACAAAAAACATTAAAAAAATAAATGAGAAAAAATATTATAAAGTTATAAAGGTATGTGTCTCTTTCAATTATAGGCCATAATTGTTTTATATCGATCGAATATCTGTTAGAAAGAATTTTTGTCAGTTTTTAACTGTTTTATGCTAAAATTAATAAACACTATAGTATAACTTTATATTAATATCTTCTCATTTCTCCAGAGGGTTATGAGTATCAAATAACGTAATATAATATCTATATACAAGATATAAAATGTAATTATCCAATAAATATACACAATATATTAAAACGAAATATATATCTATACTTGTTATTTGAGTACCAAATGCAATTATTTTATATAATACTAATTATTTTAGATTGACAATCAATAAAAAATGGCTGCTTTAATTTATATGTTACTGTTTTTTATCATATTTATTTATTTCAGATATCTGTAACAATAATGGAATCAATAAGTCTGATATTGTTGGTATCAGCAGATGAACCTAATGTATACGTATTTTCCCTTTCATATTAATATAGAAATTAGAAAACATGTGCATAACGATCCGCACTGATACAATTTATTGTAATACGTATCGACGTTCCCTATCGATGAAACAATCAGTTTGTAATTACTGGTAGTTTTACCTGGAACGTTTTGACAGGGTCATAATTATTATCGTTTGCAAAATCTGCTTTAATATTATTTCTTAATATTTATTTTATATCAGCCAGTTGTGAAACAGGTGAGCATTTTATGTTGCATTCGTTCAAATGCTTTTAATTTAAAACTCTTCGCAAATATTTCACCTTAAAAAGAAGACTTTGAATAGTAGCTGCTATTAAAACAAATAAAACCGGAAAAAATATGTTATATATTTTAGGCTAGGAACATTGATACAAATTATTATAGTCGAGTGCAACCATTACATTGCCTGCACATTTCATAAACTTTTTTTTTTCAATTTTAAAAATCAAAACCGTTAAAAGGCACACAATCAAGCATGATTCCGGAACCCAGTTAACAAGTCGCTAAAATATCTGAAGCCGGATGCTTTTAAATCTCACGTTAAACCCCATTCATCAAGAAACTTCTCTCAATTCTGTGTATATCCATTATCATGTCTGAAGAAACACAAATCATACGGATGGAAATCTTATTGTTTATGTTTTAATTATGTTGAAAAGCCAATATCGCCGTCTTTTGCTATGCCGTTATTCCAGGGCAGGGTTTTTTTCATGACTTGAAACCTTTATCGTATTCTATTTTTAAGTTTCCATATGAAATCATATTGTATTTCCTACTGTATTAATTATAGAAAATAGTATTTAAAATAAAACAAATTCCGTCGTGGTTTTTATTCACGTTCAAAATGTATCTGACTTAATTAATAATTATACTTATCAAGTTAAAAACGGCACAATTATCAAAACTTTATTTCAATATTTCTGTTCCGCAAAGACTTAAAACAAATCTAATTGAAAAAACGAATTGCCTCAAAATGATAGTTTATGAATATTTCGTTCGCATTGCCAGTGTTAGCAAGTGAAAATGGAATGCAATTTCCTTTCTTATACAATATCAAAACATTCAATTTAGATCAACATTACTAAAGGGAAACAAATTTTAATCTGCGTTAATTTTGCATATATGTTTATTTGTCTCTTGATGAGCAAATGCAAACATATTATTTCCTATAAGAATCATTTATTGCACAGTAATGAATTGGCTGTAATTTATATAATAAGATTGAAATTGATTTCAGATAGAGGTACAATGGTCTGAAGGTGAGATAGCCAGATAATAACTGCGTACATGAATTTGAGCGCCATAAATTGAATACAATGATAAAGAATTATCTAGTATATTAAGACTCATTTTAATAGTATTTTGAAGATGATTTAAGGTGTAAATATTCCTGATCAACAGTTTTAAAACTTCTGTATGAAATCGTTTTTAAGTTCAATATTGTTTGCTTTTAATGAAAGGTAAAACTTTTAAAATCTATATGATATTGTAATTCTTTATTAAAAAATCAAAAATAGTAATTATATAGAGGATATTTGTTTGTTTGTGTGTAAGATGAAATTTTATTTCATCGAGTGGGCTTTAAAAACAGTATTCTCACGAGTGGCGTAGCCACGAGTGAGAATACTGTTTTTAAAGTTCACGAGATGAAATAAAATTACATCTTACACAACAAACAGACAAATTTTCTTTTTATTTTATGCTTTAAAACAAGTTAAAACGAAATTTCCATAATTTTACATTAATATTAAAATCTGTTTCCCCCATTGAGAGCCCCATTTAGAGGTACCTCAATTTATTTTTGCTGACTATTCCGACAATGTCAGGCTGTTTAAAGAAAAGCAAAGCTGAAATTGATAAATAACTTATATGTCAAAAGTAATAAAAAGAAGAAAACAGTAAGTTACTTCTATTCATTCAAATTACCAATCACCAAATATCGTCTCTTTAATTTTTTGTTTCATTTTTACAGTCTGAAAAATACATTCCTTCCACATGCAAAACTGCTTTTGGTGACATTTGGGAATATTTAAGTATCCTACGAACAATAACTGCTGTATGCT